TTTTGTTTTGTTTTTTTTTGTCTGTTCGTTTTTGGATTTATTTTTATTATTTTTGGGTTGAGCTATATTATAGTAGGATAGTTTTAAGGTTCTTTAAGCCATCCGCGTAGGCAACCACGTGAGACTTGTTTTTTTTTGTTTTTTGTTTTATTGTTCGTTTTGGATTCCTTTTTAACTATTTTGGGTTTGAACTTGTTAAGGTTTAGGGTTTATACAAATATTTTGATCTTTAAAACAATAAGCCCAAAAAAAAACATAAGAACCTTATAAACAAAAAGCCCATATGATAATAATCTAAATAAAAAAATCAAAAATACATGATAGCTGCGTGGTTTGAACCCACAATCTTGCATACTTAATTAGACACCTTATATTACTTGGTTAAAATGTATTTCATTGTTTGTGACCATCTTACCAAGACTATGTGTGTTTAAAAATATCTACGGGACCCACAAAACTACTGACTATGTTCTATTGTTATATTTTTATGATGATGACATTAATTGGTTTATGCATGAGAGCAGTGGGAATTGAACCCATGTCCTTGCAGACCAAACATGGGATCTTAGACCACTTGGCTAAACTGATATTCTTTGTTTGTAGCCATTTTAAAAAAACTATCTATTTTAATATAAAAATGTGGGACTCACAATCTGCCTATGTGGACACCTTAAGGAGCCTTCAAACTGTATCCTTATAGTATAGATTACATAATATATAAGATATCCAACGTGATACATGGACACAAATTTGGTATATGAAGAAATCAGTTTAAGAAAGTTAATATCTAGTTTTTTATTATTAAGACTAGTTGCATACTCTCCGCGCAAGCGCGGAGCCGGAATCATTATATTTGCGTATATTTTTTTCAATTTTTGGTTTAGTGGATTCTTCTAATGACACCAAATAATAATGAAATGGAAAGAATCTAGTAAGAATGTAAAGTGAAAATTAATATATCTAATGTGTTAACTGTTATTTATATGCGAAGTAGGGTTTATAGGAATAGTTAAACTATAATATAGTTTTTAGTGTGTAAAAGTAGGTGTCTATTTTTTTTTTTTTGCTGTAAATAGTTTTTTATATCGTATGTCAAAACTTGATATAATTCTATATTTATAGTATTTATATTTGTATTAAACGATTTATAAATTTAAAAATAACCTTAATTAAGTTAATATTCGTTGTTTAAGTTTCATTAGATAGGTTTTTATATATGGTTTTTTGTAAGTTTGGGTTTTGTTCATAAATGATGTGACATTTTTATCTACGGCGTCATCGACTGTGGGAATCCATTTGCCGAAGTCTGGAGTCGGTGGTGAGGAATGTTTTCAATGAAATTATAGTAGTTATTAAAATGTAAGAGAAATTACATATTCATTTAATAAATAACGAAAAATACTTAAATTTTGTTGTTTATTTTATTTTATTTCACATACAAATTTTTTGAAAATATATTAGGAATGTGTTAAATGTTATTTATATGCGAAGTAAAGTTTATAGGATTAGTTAGGCTATAATATAGTTTTTAGTGTGTAAAAGTAGGTGTTTTTTTGCTGTAAATAGTTTTTATATCGTAGGTCAAAACTTGATATAATTTTATATTATAGTATTTATATCTGTATTAAACGATTTATCAATTTGAAAATAATCTTAATTAAGTTAACATTCGTTGTTTAAGTTTCATTAGATAGGTTTTTATATATGGTTTTTTGTAAGTTTGAGTTTTCTTTATAAATGATGTGGCATTTTTATCTACGGAGTCATCGACTGTGGGATCCATTCAACGGAGTCTGAAATCGGTGGTGAGGAATGTTTTCAATGAAATTATAGTAGTTATTAAAATGTAAGAGAAATTACTTATTCATTTAATAAATAACGAAAATAATTAATTTTTGTTGTTTTTTTATTTTATCTCACATACAAATTTTTTAAAAATATATATTAGGAAATATGTGCAATGATTTAACTTTTTGAGCTCTTAATCTATATTATTTAAGCCTCATTAAGCCATCCACGTAGGCAGCCGCGTGGGATTCACTTTTTTTTTTGTTTTTTGGTCGGTTCGTTTTGGATTCATTTTTATTATTTTTGGGTTGAACTATATTATAATAGGATAGTTTTAAGGCTCTTTAAGCCATCCGCGTATGCAACCGCGTGAGACTTGCTTTTTTTTTTCGTTTTTGCATCCATATTTAACTATTTTTTTTGTTTGAACTCGTTAAGCTTTAGGTTTATCCAACTATTTTGATCTTTAAAACAATAAGCAAAAAAACAACATAAAAACCTTACAAACAAAAAGCCACGATGGCTGCATGGTTTGAACCCACGATCTTGCATGCTTAATTAGACACCTTATACCACTTGACTAAAGCGTATTTCATTGTTTGTAATCATCTTACCAAAATTATAGTTTTTTAAAAAAATACCTACGGGACACACAAAACTGCTGACGTGGCGCGTTGT